AGGTGGGACAGAAAGTGACTTCTATACTTTTAAAATTTGCCCAAAATTTAGGAGGTCTTTAGACCAAGCCAACTATAGTACAATGCATATAGACGATTAAATTCACTACATAGTAAACATATAATTTTTTTTAGTAAATAAAATTTTTTTTCAGGTGATATTCTTAGCAATACTTTGTATTTTCATAAAAACATATTTTTTAAAAAAAAAAAAAATTTTTTTTGTTGTATATTCTTTACATTGTCTACCAAATCGTCCCAGGGTAAGTTTCATAATATAAAAAAAGTCCACCAAATCGTCCCACTATATACTGTAGGACAAAAATACTATAGAAATAGTCAAATAACTGATCTATATACATTTAATTTTAGATAAACATAAATATATATATACATGCATAATTATAAAAATGAACCAAATCCAAGTCCAAGTAAGTAGTTGACAACTGTTTACTGTTTTCTAGCTTCTTAATCTAATAGTTTTTATATTCTATTTTTGTAAATTAGAACCAAATTTATAAGTGCAATTTGTGTCAAAATGATTATGAGTATAAAAACATTAATGGTTTACGAAGACATGAAGCTCAAAAACATAAAGAATATAACAGTCCACCTGTAAGTATATTATCATTAGAAGTTCCTGAATTTTTGGTTGAGCAATTTAAACAAGAAATTATATCTGGTTTTTGGAGTTGCTACAAAAATAATAGAAGTGGAAGAGGATGGAAGAAATTTGTTCTAACTTGTCACAAAGCTGTATTTGTTCAAATATTTAGTAATCATATAACAAGATATTCAAGTGTTGATAGGTGGTATAGATGTGTTTTTAAAGGAATGGAGGGGAAAGAAAATTTAAATGAATGTCTGGGGTCAGAAGATTGGGCCATTAAATATTATGAAAATAATGAAGCTGTTTTTTCAGATATATGTACAAGATCAGAAGGTAGTGGAGATATAGTATTTATGTGGAAGGAAATAAAAATCATAGATAATAGGGGAAATGAAACAATAAGTAATAAGTTTACTGTTAAGTTATGTATAAATAGAACTACATTAGAAGAAAATAATAATAATGTACTGTATAATATTTTTTACTAATAAAATTATTATATTTTTTACATAAATTTATCAAAGCATATCTTGAGAATGATCCAAACAAAAATCTATTTGATG